GGTCTGTAGTTCCTTATGTCTGTTCTATCCCCTTTTTTGTATAGGAGGGTGACCACCCCCGGTGCTTAATTCTTCTCCCAGAGAGCCTCTATTGAACGCTTCCTTAAAAAAGGTTGTGATTGCGTCACCCATTAAGTGTCAATTCTTCTGCCAAAAAACTATTTCGGGAAACCGTCCCTTCTCGGGGTTTTGTTTGGTTGCATACTCTTGAGAGCTTCAAAGAGTTCCGCCTTCGAGATGTCCTTTTTTAGATAAGTGATGGCTTCCTGTTTAAGACTTTTGTCTAAATGTTTCAGAATTTTTTCTCTTGCTTTCTGTGTGTTTTTGGCATTATCGAGATTAGTCTTGGATGTGTAGAGGCATTGATAGAAATCGGAAGGTTACCTTGAGCGTTTTGAGGCTATGTATTCTGCTATTCCTGTGGTCCGCCTTAACTCTCTAGAAGAAGAATTTCGTCATGGCTTCATTGCTTTCCCAATCTCTCACTCTAGCTCTAATGGCTAGTCTTGTCTCTTCCAGACCGCCCATTGTCTAAGTTCCGCCCTGGCTTCTTCCATGAGTTGTTCGTATAGTGGCGCCCCCGGGTTAGCAATGAGGTTAAATTTTGCGGGTTCTACCATTGCTTCCAAATTTTCCTGTCTTGCCCTCCTCCTTCTGGCTTCCTTCCTCGAGAAAAGGCTCGCCCACTTTCCTAGTCGCTGGATTGCAGGTGGCAGATCATTAAGAATTTCCTCCTCCCTAAAATTATCCCTTAATTCTGCTTATTTGCTTTGTAGGTCTTGTCTGAAAGTATCTAGATTGAGTGATGTATTAAGTTTAAAGGAACTCCTCCCTGGGGAGTTGTCAAGGGAGAGTGAGAGGTTGATAGAGATTGGATTATGGTCGAACCCGTCATAGTACGGTAGCCTTCCAATAGAACTTTCCAAAGCAGCTCCCTCCAAGGTTTCAAATATGAGAAAAAAATCGATTTTTGAGAAGGTTGTTCTTCCCTAAGACGTTTTCCTGATACAGGTGTAATCTTTTCTGGACGGATTTAGCATCCTGTAGGGATCCTTTAGGTTTTTTTCTACCATAAGTTCGGACAAGGCCGACGTGGCAGGATCTTCAGAGGAATCATTGGCCCCGGATATCCTGTCCAAATATGGGCACCCCTACTATGACTGTGTGTCTTTGGGGAGGATAAAAATCGCTGATTTCCTTAAGAAACTTTATTTTGTTATTCGATGAATTGGGGGCATAAATGTTTATAATTGTAATCTCTTCTTCCTTGTAAGAAAGGTCTGAAGGATCTGTTGTGGTGGATGTGACTACCATGAAATGGGCTGCTTCTATGTTCTTATGTACTAAAATTAGCACTCCGGTTGAGGCAGGGCTAGGGCTATGGGCTACTACTATAGCCTTGTATTTTCCCGTTCTTCTAAGGATCTCCTCTCTTACGGTTATGTGGGCCTGGGAGCTAGTCAGGTGCGTTTCCTGGAGACAGAGAATGTCCGGGGGGTTGGGGTCATTCCATCCATCCGTTGTCATGAGGCATTGCCATTTTTCTGGGTTGGACAGAATTGTTGCCAGCCCCCTTACGTTCCAAGACCGGATGCCTAGGTCCCCCCTTGATCCCTTCAGTGATTGATTACTACATTTTTGTTCTTTGTTTGGTTCGATTGGTTTAAGATACGCAAGAAGAGCTACCCTTTGTCTCGTCCTCCAGTGGGAATAATTTCTCCAGCAGTTCCTCCTCCTCCAAAATCATGACCCCTGCTTCTGCTAATGTATCCAGGCTTTTGCTGCATTATGGGTCGTAGTTACCTCATTCCCCAATGTTGTGATGGGCAAGCTTGCTACAATCCACCAAGGTCTCCATTGCCAACCCTCGGCCAGTTCTGTTTGTTGGCCGAAACAGGCTATAATTGGCCTTGCGTCATATCGAGGAATTTTCTCCGTTTCCCCAATGACTCGTGCCCCCTTTAGTTCTTCTTCTGGTGTCGGCTTACCTGCAATTCCTGTGAATTTTGGTTCCTTCCCCTTGGTGATTCCCTTCAACTCATCGCTGCATTTCTGTCCCCGTTGCAGCTTGGACAACCGTGAAGTCTTTGTCCATCGCTACCTACCACTCCCCACTCGCGTTAGCCTGTTGAATGGGTATTATTGCTCTGGATGGAAGCAGAAAATTGGCTTATTTCCTCGCCCTTTCCCAGAAGTCGTTGTGACCCTGGTACTGCAGGTCTTGCACCACCATCATGAGGCGGCTCATCTCCTCATTGAGCTCGCTAAGCCTTTCGCATTGCGCCTGGAGGGACTCCACCTCAATGCCAGGTGCGCTAGTGAGTATTCCTTTTGGTTCAGATCTGGTTGTGACTGGCCCTCACTCTGGCTGCTGCGTGGCGCGGTGGTTTTGTAGGTGGCCAGCTTGGTTCTTTGAAGGCACTTCCATGCTTGTGTCCTCCTTTGCTGCACAATATTTTTTCTCTGCATAAAAGGCTGCCAGCTCTCCTTCTCTTTCCAAGGGAGCGAAGGGGTTCTCCGAAAGTGGGATGACCTGCGTGGGGTTCGCCGCTTTTGCCCTTTGTTTGGTTTTTTGGTCTTCCTTGTACAGGATCATTTGAAGTTCATACTTCTCTTGTTTTTTCTTCTCAAAGTCCTGGATGAATTCCACCAGTTCACTTTCTTGGCGGTCACTCCACGGGACATACCACTCATCCTGATCTTCTTCCGAGTCTGGTGCGTCCCTATCTTTCTGTCCCTCATGGTGTTTCCTTTTTTCTCCCACCGCGGGGTCCCTGGTCGCTAATCCCCCCATGAGATCCAATTTTGGCATCCCTTTTACCTGTTGTCCTGCTTCTTTCGCTGTTTCCTGGTCCTGTGTCTGCGTGGTTTTTGTTTGACCTTTCAGAGTTCTTGTGTACGTCATTTGCTCTACATTGTTCTCCTCCTCTTTTTCTGATTCCCTCTTTTGCTTGACCACTTCTACCCATTTCATTTCTTCCTTTTCTTGCACCAACTGCAAATCCACGCACAAATCTCTTTCCCAAATCTCTTGCTTCAAGTTTTCCACGTTTATTGTTGGGTCCCTGGTGAAACACGTGGGGTATTTCCTTTCTACCCTCATTGACTGTCATCTGCTGTCATAGGGGGGGTATGCTTCCGGCCTCCGGGTTGGTTCACTATCTAGGATCCATACCCAGTCCGGGACATCCATGTTATCGTTGAAAACCCAGCCTGCGTATTGCACACCCAGTACATACCAAAAACCTTTTTTGTTCGTCACCTCTTGCAGGTTGGCTGTTCTTAGCGGTTTGGGCTTCGAGTTTTCCTTTGTTTTGGGGCAGTTGGGATCGGTACCCAGATATCCTCTTTGCCTGCACTTAAAACAGAATGGGTTGGCCTTGCTGGACACCGCAATTCTGTTCACTTTTTCATCCTGCAGAAAAAAAAAACACTCATCAGGTATGTGCGGCATCGGGTTTTCCCCTATGTCCAAAACCACCGTCATTTGATTATGTTGCGGCGTGAGGAAGTCGCGTGTTGCTACAATCCAATGCAGTTCCTTAAAATTTCCATATTCCATCTTTACTCTTTCTTTGACGCAGTCGTGCATTCCTTCCGGCACGTTGTCGAATTGAATCCAGAAGTGCTTTTTGATCAAGTGATGTTTGTATTTTAAGGGTGTCTGCTTATAAGCTGCGGCCTTTTTCCATGGGTGCACTGTGACTACTGTTGAGTTGCAGGTGAAACATTGTTTGTTAAGAAAGCAGTCAGTGCCGCATCCATGCATAACACCATAATCATGTTTCTTGATCTTGGATGGAAGGAGACTTTGGGATTCATCCCTTGGACTGGTTCCAAGCTTTTCAATTTTTCCCATATCCACTTCAATTTTGCCTGTCTGCCAAATTCTTGACTTTTTCGTGAAGGTGAAAAGAACGGCGTGCTTTTTGTGGAGCTTTTCCAACTTGGAGGTTAATTATTTGGGGCATTCGTAGATCACAATCTCTTCCTTGTTGTTTCCGCCATGGTCGATGAGTTTGGCGGTTTTGATGAGGGGTGTTCTTGTCTGTTCCGTGAGCCAATTTTGCATTTCAATTCCCATGCCCTCCCTCGTTGTGACTAATAGTGGTTCGGGTGTCGGTTGCTTGATATTTGTGCTGGTCTCCTATGAGGGAAAGGTTGAGTAAGTGTTACAACGGGGAGAGCTTAGGCAGCGGGGCGAGTGAGGGGGTAGGCGCTTGGACGGCTGGTTGCGTGTCAAGAAGGTGATCGTGAAAGTGAATAAGAGATACACTTAATAGGAGAGAGCTTAACTCGAGGATGGGTTAGTGGGTGGGGGCGCTAAGGGGGGCAAGAGAATGGGTAGGTGGATCGGAGGTGAGGGAAGGAGGGTTAAGAGGCTAAAACAGGATTAGTAAGTAGGAGAGAGATGGGTCAACAAAATTAAAGGGAAACGGGATGGGATTGGAGCGGGGAGGGATCGGAATAGGAGCGGGTCGAGGTCGGGATGGGGGTGGGATGGGAGCGAGATGGGGGCGGGATAGGAGCCGAATGGGAGTGGGATAGGAGCGAGATAGGAGCGGGATGGGAGCGGGGTAGGAGCAAGATAGGAGCGGGAAGGGAGCCGGATGGGAGCGGTATGGGAGCGGGCTAGGAGCTGGATGTGAGTGGAGTGGGATCGGGAAGGAGGCGGGATAGGATCAGGATGGGAGGGACAGGAGCGGGAAGGGAGACGGATGGGAGCGGTATGAGAGCGGGATGGGAGTTGGATGGGAGCGGAGTGGGATCGGGAGGGAGGCGGGATAGGATCAGGAAGGGAGCAGGATAGGAGCGAAACGGGATCGGTATGGGATCGGGATGTAGGGGGATTGGATAAGGGTGGGATCGGGATGTGGGAATGGATCAGTGTGGGATCGGCATGTGGGTGGGATAGGCTTGTGATGGGGGCGAAATGGGAGTGGGATTGGATCAAGGTGGGAGCGGGATGGGAGCGGGATGGGGGCGGCTTGGAGCGGGATGGGATCGAAATGGGAATGGGTTGGGATCGGGATGGGAGTGGGATTTGAGATGGGTGGGATGTGAGATGGGTGGGATCGGGATGGAATCGGGATGGAATCGGGATGGGAGCGGGATGGGAATGGTTTAGGAACGGGATGAGATCAGGATGGGAGTGGGATAGGATCGGGGTGGGAACGGGATGGAGGTGGGAGGGGATCGGGATGGGAGTGGTCTGGGAGCTGGATGGTAGCGGGGTGGGAGCGGGATGGGATCGGGACAGGAGCCGGATGGGAGTGGGGGGAATCAGGATGGGAGGGGGATGGGAACGGGATGGAGCTAGAGTGCGATGGAATCGGGGAGGGGCAGAGATGGGGACGTGGGAAGGAACGAAATTGGGACCGGGAGGGGGTATGTTGGGATGGGATCGGTGTGGGAATGGGTTGGGCTTCGAGATCAGATTTGGGAATGTTTCGGACTTCAAGATCGAGGCTTTAAATTCGAGTGCGTAGTAAGGGAAGGGTGGAAGGGGGCGAAACGTAAGGAGAAGAAGAAGGGGAAGAAGAAGAAGAGGAAGAAAAGAGAAGAAAAAGAGAGGAGAAAAAAGGAAGAAGAAGAGGAAGAAGACAAAGAGAGGAAAAGGAAAGACGGAGAACAAGAAGAAAGGTGAAGGAAAACTAGTAGGAGAGTTGTCGTCGATTACTTATCCTCACGGAGATAATACCGACGATGACTATAATGGCGCGACATGGCTGCAGAGAAGACTAGCACAGCAATGGTGGTGTGGCCCGCCGGCGGTAAACGTGCTGATGACAGGGAAGACGTGTCCCAATGATGACGATCGCCGTAATCACGGCATTGGCGTCGCGAGGCGATGACGATCTCGATTATCACGTGACTCGACAACGACAATGGCATTGATCGTTGTTGTCCCTTTCTTATTTCGAATACACCCCCCTTTCCTTTTTTTTTCTCACTGCTCCTCTCTTCTGCCTTGTTCCTCCCTCTTCTCTGTGCGTCGTTTCTAGATTCTTGCTCACCTTTGGTCGTGTCCGATCTTTCCCTATTGTGACTTTTTCTTCCCCGTATCACTGTTTCTCCATTTGAATCCTTCCTCCCCGAGAGTTTTTTGTCCCTTGCCCTTCTTAGTTTCTCTTATCCTTGTTCTCCTTTCCCTTCCTTGTCCCCCTTTTCCACTTTTGTTGCCTGTGTGAAAACTATTCTCTCCCCTATTCTTTTTACCCCTTCGAGCTCGCCTCCTTCTCTCACGCCTCTGCGCCACACCCTAGGGTGTGGCGTGATGTGGCTTAAGGTCGTTCTTCCCGTAGCGTTGCGTTCAAAGTTCGAAAAATGGCGGTCACACCCACGCGTGGTACTTCGCGCCTTGCCACGCGAAGCCGCGTCCGCTAGGGAGTGTTAGCGCTCGCGCTAACCGGAGCGGCGCAGTCGCCAGTTTACCTTTCACCAACAAAGGGAAACAGTAAGAGTACCCTCGAGAGCCCGTTCTCTACTCCGATCAGAAGTTTTTTTTCTTTTTCTAATTTTAACGATTTCTCAATTTATGCGTGTCATCCTCGCGCAGGGGTCATGCGAATCTTCACTCTCTGTATCATTCCAATCCTTTTTAATGGATGTCGAAAAGGACATTGCAATCAGACGCTCGAGTAACGCAGGTTGCGGAAAGCCGGCCGCTACAAGAAAACGCATGCTAATAAGCAATTTGAGCCTGGAAAGCAACCCAGTCTCTAGCAGGGTTCTTGCTGTGAATAAGTTCGAGCACGAATCCACCACCACCTTCAGCAGGGTTCTTCAGCGTTAATTTGGGCCAGTGGTGGTTCGCTCAGGTTTCCAGTTTTATGTTTGAACAAATCAAATATAAAAAAATAGACAGCCAAAGGTCTATTTCGTGCCTCCAAGTCCTCCTTTGAGTCTATGCATGCTCAGTTCATCGTGGACTCCACAGGCTCATCAGATCTGCGCCTGACCTAAAAATTGCCCTGAGAACAGACATAACGACCACATGCTTTACTCACAGGCTTCGCCCTTGCGCTGTTTGGCCTCAACTACTGACAGCGTGGATTCAGAAATGCACCATACTTGCGGTGCACGTGCGCCATGCACCATACGGAAACTAGTGTTGGGCTGAAGATGCGCATTTTTTTTTGTTTTTTTCCCCTCGGCGCGGTGTATGTGTGTAGACACGAGAGAGAGAGAGAGAGAGAGAGAGAGAGAGAGAGAGAGAGAGAGAGAGAGAGAGAGAGAGAGAGAGAGAGAGAGAGTCTGGTTCTATCTGTTGTGATGAGAATGATGTGTCTGACTCTTTGTCTTTCTTGCACACATCACTCATACGGCTCGTACCTAAGTTCAGAGAGAGAGAGTTGTAATGAGCCGAGCCTTGTTGAGAAGCCAAACAGCAATGCAACAGACGTCTGTACCCAGCGTGGCTCATGAAGTCTCCAACAACAATTACAAGTCCATGTCACGATTATGTGCACAATTTCAGAGTACTGTCTCGTTAAAGAAGAGCATGAGAGAGTAGCAAGGGGAGAGAAAAGACAGAGAAGAGGAGGAGGAGAGTCTCAATGATAATCAATAGTGCATGTATGTCTCCCTCTCTGTAACATACTGCGTAGCCACGCAGGCCTGGAGGGCCCGTCCCGCATTCTCAGCCTAAAAGCCTAGAAATAAGGGCTTACAGGCCCCCTGTCGTTTCAGCCTGAAAGACTGAAAACGAGGGCCTGCAGGCCCTATTTCGTTTTCAGCCTAAAACAGGGCTTTTCAGCCCTGAGGCATTTCAGCCTGAAACGGAGGGCCACTTTCGGGCCCTCATAAGATCAACCTACCCTAACACTCAGGCACAAAACCAGGGTTTCAGGAACACGCTATTTTTGGCCGGTTCCCACGACAGCCTCAGCAGGAGCTGCAGCGGCAGCCCCTGATTCCCTTCGGCATTGGCAAGAGCAGCCTCCTGGACTGCCTCGCCCTGCAGTCAGGAGGCAGGCCGAGTAGTACATAGGAACTTTAGGAAGTTCCCATGCACTTCACGGGTAGGTAGTTGGACAGAAGGCAGGAGTAGTCTTCAGGATTCGGCCGCAGCACTCTGGAGGAGCGCTGCAGGAGCAGCTTAGCGCTAGCAGTAGTCTTCAGCGCTGGGCGCTAGTAGCAGCAGTAGTCTTCAGCGCTGGGCACTAGTAGGTGGTAGTAGTAGTGTTTGGGAGAGATGGCTGGCGGAGGCCAGTGGGACTTACCTGTGGCGCCATAGCTCCAGCTCCATCTTCGAGGTACCTGCATCAAGGCGCCAGCTTCACAGGTTAGTACCGGACTGAGAGAGAGAGAGAGAGTTCTTCTTCTTCCTCTTCCAAGTCCACCATCTCTTCTTCACCCTCTCACCACCTGACTTCTCAGTATCAGCAGACTATGACAGAGAGAGAGAGAGTTGTGATTCGAGACTTGACGACATTAGATCCAGACTCGACATTGGGATTCAGACATTTTGACGAGGGACTATTTAGGCCTGTGCCGAAGACTTGGTGTTGACGACATTCCCATCTTCCCCTCTTCTTCGTCTAACCCCCCTCTTCTTCGTCTGTGTATGGGTGGGGCTGGCGCATTCTTCCTGTGTGAGCGCCAGACCCCCTTCACACCATGGAATGATGAAGATGATGTACGTTCGGGGCTGCATTGCAATATTGATTGTTCGGATCATTGGTATCTAAGTTTTCCGCTACGTTATCGTGTACTTTGTGAGAGAGGTCGGTTCTTGTTCTGGTTTGCACCTTTACAGTATGCAACAGTTTGGTATTGGAGCGGACCTCCGCTCAATCAAGTAGCCAGCTTGCTTGATCTATTGATTACTCATTAGTAAATCAAGTAGGACTTCGTCAAATCTCTGAAATTTGTTTTCTCTCGTAACAAATATCTGAAAATTTCTGATAATCGCATTTCGTTTTACCTGAAAATTTCTGATATTAGTATTTCGTTTTCACGTAACAAATATCTGAAAATTTCTGATAATCGCATTT